AAATCACTAACCTGTCCATCTCCAGGATGCACCTTCATGCTCAACACACTTCCCAAACCTCAAACATTGTTTGAAGAACTTCTCTCTGTCCATGGTGAGTCTTTCTGATTCCCTGGCGGCAAAAGAATACATTCATCAAATTTCCAATAAGGTCAAAATCATACATTTTTGTCCCTTCGCTCACTTCTTTATTCAAACACTGTTTATGAAAATGAAGCAGTTCTATCATTATTACCTTTCTCATCATTGGAGATACAGAATAATGGAGCATTGTGCATAGAAAACCTGATTTAGGCAAGTATCACATGCATATTATTTGAAAAAAAAAATCAAGGCAGAAAAGGGGGTTGTTTTCGGCATGAAGGTAAACATTTTTCAGAGAAAATATATCACAAAACCAGCAATGCACGTAATGAGGGAATCTCTGCATACAAAAACCATGAAAATGGAATACTGTTAAGCACCAACCCTGTAGCAATACTCTTTTTCGTTCATTAAATTACAAATTACAGTATGATACTTGAAAATGTTGATTTCTAGTCAACAAAAACAAGGGTTTTACTTTTTGCAGGGATGCCAAAAAATCAAGGCGCGAGTCTTACTCAAGAACACTTGGTTACTCGAGTAATCTTTTCTCAAGATTGAAATGTAGGGAAAAGATACTAAAAATTCCCCTTATGCATGCAAATAAATTTTCAGTATGTTTTTCTTCGGAAATAATCTTCAAATTATATTTTGAAGCCAGGTGAGAGAAAGAAGACCCGAGTTGATTTTATGTGATGCCAAAATAATGCGGTGTGTTTCTCTGCATCCAAAAAGCACTCATCATTATTTCAGGTATGCTAACAAGACTCATGATAGCATTAAAAAATACTCAGATTTGCATTTGCTTCCAGATTTTGAAATTAAATTACATGCAAGCATCTCAAGGTAACATCTTCTCATGATGAACTTACATCCAATTCCCACCATCTCTGGTGTGAACAGCTTGGTCACCATAAACATTCAAACTGGGCATTTCCACTGTTGACAGTGGCCTTTCCACACTCAAGTGCAGTTGCCGGATCCACTGGGTTTCAATGGTGCGGTAGATGGTGTCAGGGTCCAAGACATTGTCCCTCCTCAAACACTGCACATCCAGGGGATGCATGACCAACTGATGAACTTTGATCAGCTCAAAGATCTTTCCATATTTCCGCCCTTCTGCGGTGAGCAAGAATGGAGTACCTGGAAATATGAAATTGAATACTGCACTTCAAGCAAAACTATTTCTCTGGTAGCAGTATTTATTATACTAAAAAAAAAACGTTATGGAAACACTGTACACTGTTTTGATACCTCAATTCAGAATGCAAAATTCAACCCTGCACATTCATAAATGATCAAGCATTTTCCTTACTCAAGTTTTGACATAAACTGAACAAGACTAAAACTTTGAAACGACCATACATGAACTCTTCCATTTTGCAAGAGGTACTGAATGTTTTCAAACAACATTTTTGTCTCTGAATGAGTTTACAGGCAGAATTTTTTCGTTCTGGTCGATAGAAAAATCCCAAAAATATTATCTAGTGCAGGAATCTTGACAGACATTTTCCTTCACACTAAACCTTAAATAGATTCCTCATGACAAAAAAATCGTTTGACTTGAACAAAAAAAAGATGAATGAATTAAAGGAATAACAACAAGTTTCAGCAAATTAGAAATTCTGATCAACGAAATGTAGGTCTTTTTCAAGTTTTAGGATAATTTCGAAAGTCAAACGTTTTAGAGAGTAGATCTTGACTTCAATTTCAATTATTTTCAGAAGTGATAATTACCCTACGTTTTATTTTTTTTTAAGAAATGAAGAAACTGAGTTTCTTTGTGGAAGCAATAGGCTATCTAACGTCTCCACTTCAATTCCTATTAAATTAATCAAGTGTTTAAACGAAGCGACAAGCGCAAAAACTAAAGTACGAACTTTTCATTTGATCACACCCATTAATTGGGGGTGAAAAACAAAATAAATCACACATCCGTTTAAAAAACTGGGTGCTAGAAAATCAACTTGATCTGATGCGTTCACATTTTGTCACGACAGTAACTTATTGCGTCACACAAGAAAATCTCGGAATATTAAAACTGAATTACACTCACCTTGCTTTTTCAGAAAGAAATCGATGGCATCGTTCATGATGACTCTGACCCCGTCTTCTCCATCGCCCAAGGACTTGACTTGGGCCTCTTGAATGTACACCCAGACACACAGCATGCTGTAAAGTATCATCTCACACGGGATGACCACCAGGTCTTCACTGGCCAGCACTGTTTCTAGGGTGTCCAAGCTGTCCCAATATATACATACATACATGTATTTATATTTTTTCAAGCATTTTTAAATGGAGAGAAGGTGGAGAAAAAACTCACGAGAGATTCCATATGACAGCAAGGCACCGGCTTTGGTCCGCGTTTGAAATGGGGAAGGCATTTTGAGCTAGCCAGGTCAAGGCGGCTGTTTTAACTGACCCTACTCCGTACATATCACCAGCAGCCAGGAAAGACACAGCATTCTGGAACATGAATAATGTAAAACATTTTACAAGGGTCCCACGATTCAAAACCAAAACCATCAGGATCCGGTCAAGTCAAAATTTCCTTCCGGGATGATTTCATGTTCGAAAGCATTTCGGAAACGCTAGACACAAACCTGGAAAAGTAATTCATCTTTCATCAAGCTAATTTTTAAATTTTCAAGACGTTCTACACCTTTGGGAAAATATAGCATTTTCATTTTCATTTTTTGAATTTTACATCAAGTAAAAAACTATATTTTCCAAAGGTGTGGAACGTTTTAAAAATTATAAAATTACCTCGATCACATTTTCATTCTACTTTTGAAACGATTATTCCAATTGATCTTTTAGGTTGAACTGTAGCGCGAATTTCTGAAAAACCTGAACTTGTGTTCGAAACACCGTTGATTTTTGTCATACAGAAAACAACTCGAAAATAAGAAATTTCCCCATAAAACGCACTTTTTTCTACGTGATTCGAAGAAAATGTAAACATAACCCAAAAGAAATAACAAATTCTAACTATAACTTTTGAATTTCCAATTTTTTCGGCTTTTTCTTTTTTACTTTCGTCGCTCAAGAAATGTTTGCAGTGACACTGTGACAGGCATCACCGAATTTTAACGCAGATTTCACAATAATAACTTCAGAAATGATCCCCAAAGTTAGATATGAACACGGCTTTTAAACTCACATCACCATTCACAGCGCCAACCATCAAATCACCACATTTCGCAAGCAAATGCTCCAACTGCAGGAGCCTACAAGCTGCGACAACGTTCACTATGGCCTCTCTCGGTATGTCCACTTCTCCGTGATACATAGACCCTAGGGCTATGTCCAGTCCCTGCGCTGAAACCCGGCCATCGACGATCTTGAGTTCCACCACGTCATTATCCGCATCTTTCCAACCTCCGTGGAACATGGCTTGAAAAAATGGGCTCTATGCAAAAAGAAATATGCTTTCTTTTAGATAAACATGAACACAGTCGAACCTCCCTAAATCGAATTTATTCTTCAAGTCCCTGTCAAAATTCCCTTTTTTTTCAAAAATGCATTAAAACCTCCAATCTGAATAAATCAAATTTTCTGGAAGCCTTTTCGCTATTATTTTATTGACATAGGAAATAGAAATATAAATAAAAATTAAACTGCATGTGTTCTGAGAGGAATTGAAAAATAATTTGGGCAAATGAACCCTTGCCTCCAAGCTCAGCATCCTGTCAACTCATTTGAGAAGCAATAGAAGGCCCAGAACATCACAAATCAAGATTCCCTGTATATCTCTCTTTCCCAGAACAAAAAAGCTTGTTTCCCCAGCCCTCAATAAATTCGAATTTTCTCATTGGTCACTCGACGTTCGACATAAAGAAGTTGATCGAAAACGAAGAAAGAAAACACTGACCTGCTGTAAATAAATTCGATGCAACTTCCATTCCTGGCCCAAAGCTTTCACTGTGACATCGGATCCAACTCCGGCTTTGAACAGAGTGTCGTAAATGAA